AAAACAAATTTATTGGCATGGCAGTCCTACCTCTTCATCCTGATTTGGGCTGCCAGAGAGCACTGACCTGTGTGCTGTGCCCCTGGTAAGGAAATCCTCTGCTCATCCTGGACGTGCATGCTGCCTCCAGGCCTCATCTCATCTCTGAGGTCACCACTGGGAAGTCTGAGGAGCGGCTGGGGGGGCTCAGCCTGGACAAAAGGTGGCTCAGAGGGGACCTTCTCACTCTACAACTCCCCGAAAGGAGGTTGGAATCAAGTAGAATTGGTCTCTTCTCCCCCAGAATAAGCAGCAGGACAAGTGGAAATGTCCTCAAGTTGCACCAGGGGAGGCTTAGAGTGGACATTAGAGGAAAATTCTTCACTGAAAGTGTGGTCAGGCACTGACACAGGCTGCCCAGGGCAGTGGTGGAGTCACCATCCCTGCAGGGACTTAAAAGATGTGTCAGTGTGGCACTTGGGGGCATGGTTTAGTGGTGGCCTTGATGATCTTGGAGACATTTACCAACTTAAAGGGTTCTGTGCCTCCAAGTGGAAGATGGATTTAATTATCTTCTCTTCCACAGGCATCAAGAAAAAAAAAATGGCCAAAGAAGGGTTCGGTGCTGAAGCAGAAGGTGGGGAAGGAACTGCAGCTTCTGGGGTAAGTCATTAATCATGTCGCTGTCTCTGACACCGGAGGTAACACAGAGCACAGCGGGAGCCCATCCCAGCCGTCAGTGGGGGTTAATTACTGCCGGTAATTACACGGGCCGCTGTCCGTGGTGCTGGAGGCGTCCCCGCCCCGCTCCGGCCGCCACCGCCTCATCTGCCCCCTGAAACACCCCAGCAGCTCCCTGGGGGAAGGGCCTCGAGCTTCCCGTGGGATGGCAGGATTGGGACGGCTCGGAACAGCTGAAAGAAAAGTGAAAGAAACCTGGGGAGCTCGACAGGAAAATATTCTTCCTCAGGTGTGTTTTTGCCTTCCGTATATGAAAGAGCTATCTTAATGTTCATGAAGTGCACTGGAAAAGTACCTTGGCCCTTCCCACAGATATTTGCTAAATTGTTTGTTGTAAATCTGTCAGTTAAAATTTAGAAAGTTAAGAAATGACCTCAGCTGAGATCCCCAGCCAGCCAATTTAGACTCACTTTCTTCCAGAATGTCACAATACAGATAAAGCAATTACCTCAGCTGCAGGAAAAGCCATGATGAGAGAGTTCACACCCTTCTAGCTCTGGGGAAATCCAAGCATGAGATGGGGAAACCACAGGCTTTCCAGGTTCTACTCCTATCAGAAAGAATTATTTCTAAACTGATAACTTGCCAAAATCTTTTCATGCTTTTGTATTTGACAAATTGGGCGAGTGCAGTGTACAGGGAATTGGCTGGGTGGTCACACTCAAAGAGTTGTGGTCAACAGCTTGATGGGTGTGATGAGTGGTGCTCCTCGGGCTTCAAATGATGGAGGGCAGAATTAGACTGGACAAAATTCTTCCCTGGGAGGGTGGGCAGGCCCTGGCACAGGCTGCCCAGGGAAGCTGTGGCTGCCCCATCCCTGGAAGTGTCCAAGGCCAGGTTGGACAGGGCTTGGAGCAACCTGGACTGGTGGAAGGTGTCCCTGCCCATGGCAAGGAGCTTTCTGTACAAAAGGAAGAGGGGCTTCCTCTCACAGTCAAAATATCCCAGTGTGTTTGGAGCTGGGCATGCTGTGGTTTAATATGAGATGAACTCACCTGGCAGTGGGTAATATAAAGCTCCAAAGAAACACTGGGAGATGATGGAAATAGTTCAAACATCTTTGTGACAAACACAAAAGGAAAGCTGAAATAGCATCCTGAATAGGTATGATCTTTATTTAGCAGATACTCTGCATTGATCCCATCAATAACTGCTGAATTTCACAAGGGAAGAATTATCTTTTAAACATCATAATTCTGCAGTGAAACAATAAAGAGAAGACAAGGTTATCATAAGAAACCAGAAGGGCAGACAGAGCTGCTACTGAAACGTGGGGGAGTGCTGAGTCACTCTGCATTAGGTGCTGCCATAGTAACTATTTACCAGCTGGTTGGGAATGAGGAGAGACTGAAAAATCTGAAATAAAAATCAGGCAAGTCACAGCTTGAAACATATTGCATATGCTTTTTGAAATATTTAACAGAATGGAACACTTCTGAAGGTTTTTTTATATTGGTGTTACTTGGGACAAACAGACTATATTGGATTACTGAATAGACACATAAGTGTATTCAAGGAGTAAACTGATTTCTTCCCTGCTAGGCTATTGTTACTGTATCTAATTGTGAGAGTGAGCAGGAGTCACTTTGTGTATTCACGGGGAGGTGCCACAGCACACGTTCTCTATAGCCCAGCCCAGGCTGTGATGCAGCACAGAACAGGAGGGTTCTGGCAGTAACAGCTCTGAGGGTGAACTGGAAAACTTAACAGAGTTTAGAGAGGTAGAAGCTCAGACTCCTTGGCCAGTTTTTTTCCTGAGGCTGTTCTCTGCTCTGTTAGGAAGATCACTGTTGGTCTGTGGCTGAAGCGTGTCCTCTGCAGGGGAGAGAGCTCTGTGGTGTGACAGTGGTTTGGGGCACTTCTGCCAACCGTAAAATTCTGGGTAGTTTCTTATCATGGAAAATTTCAGCATCATGATGACAGGTGTGTGTCACTGTGACACTTCCAAAGGCAGAATCTCCATTCCTATAATGGCAGGAGGTGACAGCACTTTAACTGACAGCTGTCGAGGAGTGGAGAACTTGAGAAAACAATAGCTGGGCCTTTTGCGAGTCACTTGGGCCAAGCTTGCCTTGGGCTCCAGTGTACAGAGAAGCAGAAAGCTAGTAAAGGCTTTAAAGTCAAGAACTAGAGAAAGGTTTATGAAAACGCTGCAGAGAGGCAGGAAGTTTGTGGTGAAACGCAGGAAGTCACTTGTCTTTTAATCTGCAGGAAGCTTGGAGGAGCTGCTGCAGGAGATGCTGAGGTCAGGAAAGCTGTGCTTTGTAGAGCACAGGCAGACACCTTGTGGCTCCCCAGAGCAAGAGCATGGAGGTCCAGGGGGATTTGTTGTGTCAATGATCTTCACTCTGTGTTAGATGGAGGAAAGGTGTTTTCAGGACTCACTGTGCAACTGCATGTGCAAATCTGTTTGCTGCAAACCTGCTTAGTGGAGCTCTGGGAGCAGAACTCTTCAGCCAGTTTCTACGGGGCCTTCAACTTCCCCAGGGAAGTATTATTTGAAAAGGTCCATCTCCTGAAAGATCAAGAGATCCCGAATCATAGAATGGTTTGGTTGGAAGGGATCTTTAAAGGTCATCTAGTACAACCCCTCTGCTGAGAGCAGGGACACCTTCAACTGCTCAGAGCCCTGGCCAGCCTGGTCCTCAATATCTCTAGGACAACTTGTTTAGCTGTATCTGTTAGCTTCAGTATTGTCATTTCTAGCTAACAGAGGCTTTCAGGAACCCAGGAGCAGGGCTCAGGAGACAGAACTGGTGTTTCAGGGAGAAGTGTGGGCTTGCTTAGACACAGGAACAGTAGGATCTGGGTATCCTGAAGAAGATAAGACATGCTGACAACCTTGCATCCCAAAATTTGCTGCTGGGAGGCAAGTCAAAACTGGTGTGGAGACTGTTTTTTCCTTCTCAAGAAAGAGAAGGCCTTAGGAACAGCCTACAAATGCTCTTAAGTAAAATAGATTGTGCAGTATTTAATCTATAACCTATTTTACTCTTAAGCAAAATAGATTGCTGTAGATATGATTTTACCAAGTCCTATTTTATAGCTGTTTTATTTGACTTTGACACTTGAAGGTGTAGCTGAAGTCCCAATTGCTTTAGAAGCACTTACAGTGAGGACTGCAGTCTGAGGAATTAGATACAGTTTTTCTGGTTCCCAGCTACTTTGTTAGTGTGCTTGATGATGGTTTTCTGCCTCGACCATGGATCTTGGAAGCCAAGTAGCCCTTGAGTAAAATGGATGTGACAATTTTATAAAAGCTTTCAAGAGGGTGCAGTGGTGACACTAACACAGATTACATCAGGTTTAATCAGCTGCTGGGCTTCTATGCACAGGGAAGTTTAAGTCCTCATGTTGAATCAGAAGGAAACTACATGGTGAAAAATGTTGGTCATGGAATGGAAATTCTTTGTTTCCATCCGCTTCATTCTCGCCTTTAAGGAAACCAAAAGCTTTTTATCTCCAAAGGAAACGTGTGCTCTGCACAGCTGTAATCATACCCCAGCTAGTGCTAATTCCTGGTACAGGCAGGGAATTTTATAGGTTCACCAAGAGTTAAACAGCTGCGTGTCACAGCCTGGAGCAGGCAGAAGTGCCTGCTGTGCAGACCTGCCATGTTAGTCACTCAAAAGGCTGAAGAAAAAGACAGCATCTCTTCCACCCCTTGGCATTCCTGTCCTGTTTACCCCAGTGGCACTCAGATTCCCAGAGGGATGCAAGATGTGCTCTCACCACTGGTGCAGCTCTTTTAGTCTTTTTTTGCAAAGCCTTCCATGTACCGTGGAGTTGGAGATTAGTTTTCCTACAACCAGCTTCAGGCAAAGACGGAATCCTCAAGAACACAAATTTACTCTTCTCCCTACCTATTTAATATCACATGCACAATTTGCCTGCCTTTTTTTTTTTTTTTTTTTTTTAAGTAGCCACTGGGTGTATGATGGTGAGACATGTCTAACCAATGCCGAGCTGCCTCTGCTGATGAAGCTGAGCGTGTTTCAGCATCTCTGATGGTCTCTAGTACCGCTGCTGTGCCGGTCCCCGCTCAGCGGCAATTTCTTCGGCCCAAGGCGACAGTAACAGCCGTAAGGGTGTAAGTTTATCCCCCTCGCCTCCCTGTCCGCTCCCGCCGCCGCTCATGGGTCCGAGGGGACAGGGATGCTCTGACGAGCACCGCCGGCAGCATCGCCCCTTTTAAGAGGGATCTGGAGGGCTCGGCAGGGATGGGGAGAGGAGGAGGGCTGCTAAAAACACCGCCCTCCGCCGGGGGAGCTGCGGGGAGCGTGCGGGCCCGGCGGGCCGGGCCGGCGGGGTGCGCAGTGCGCGCCGCAGTGCGCGGAGCGGGGCGGAGGGGCCGCGCCGCAGGGATGCTCGCCCCGCTCCTGGGCTCGGCGGGCTCCGGCTGCCTGCTGCTGGGTGAGTGCTCCCCCGAACCGCCTCGCCACCGGGGCTTCGTCCCCTCCCCGCTCCGCTTTTCCCGGCTCCTTTCCCGCAGCGGGCGGGGACCCGCTCCCCGCCCCGGCGCGGTGATACCGGCCCGAACCCTTCGGGACGGCCTCTGGGCCCGCGGTCCGGCTGCCCATCGCCCTCGCTGCTCCGGGAGAAAGGGTATTGCAGGCGCTTTGGAGGGAAGAGGCAGGCGGGAGCGGCACTGTGCCGTGGGGAGGGGTCGGGCTGGGATGATGCTCTGCGGGATGCGTGCGGTGGCGAGCGGGCACACGAGCCGCTATGGCAGCGGGGCGGGCAGCTCGGCCGCTGCATTACATAATTTCTCTCAAACCCTCTTGCGGGTTAATTCTGTCGGTCCATCTCCGGTGAATTTGTCGGGGCACTTTGTCTGTAGCGGGTGTGTGAAATAGGGCAGCGCGCTCGCAGCGGGGTGTGTGCGGTAGAGCTGTTGGGCAGAGTGTGATGCTCGATCCCATTGTTTTGTGGGCAGGCGGTGACGATTCCAAGTGTGTCTGCATTAGGAAATTCTTGCAAGTCTGAAATAGGAGGATCTCTGTAAGGTATTTAACGGTTCAGCTTGAATTGATCTGCCAATGTGAAATCTGGTCCTTTGAATTTGTGCAAAGTGTCTTTCCCAAGCAAAGGTAACGTTCAATGTCTGTGCTATTTCCCTCTTTATCTGTGAAAGAGCTTCCCTCTACACAGGCAGACTTTCAAGGGGAAGAAGTACAAAGGGAAAAATGTCTTTAAAAGACAGCATCTTAACATAATTAGGTAAATAATCCGAGGGGGAGTGTTGATAACAGAAAACATCGTAATTATTTATGTTCATGTCTACTTGCTATTTTTTGGTTATGAAAGGGATGTTTCACACTAGGGGAGAAAGGAAAAAAAAAAAGGGAATTTAATATTGCTGGCCTGAATTTTGCCTCTGAAAATATCCTGGTGGCTCCCATTAAAGGCAGTGGCTTTACAGCTGCTTATATCAGCAGCTTGAATCAGCTGCTTGACAACTGTAGCAAAACTCATGCAGTGAAATATGGCCCAGAGGGAATTACCTGGGTGAAGCAGAAAGGAGCATGTGGCTGGGAGGCTGTGGGCAAGTGTTTGTTAAAATATTTTGGGCCCCAAGGCCCCAGGGACTGCTCTGAAGCACACTACTGGCTACACCAGGCTTGTTTATGACAACAGGAGGAGAACAGGACCCACTGGGGACAAGTCTCCTGTGTGAGCTCCTGCCCTCAGGCCTCCACATCCACCCTGGGGTATTGATTCCTGTGCTTCACACCTCAGAGTGTGTCTCTGCTGTGTCCAAGCTCCTCTCCATTGTGCATCTTGCTCTCCCAAAATGTGTGTCTGTCCAGATACGGCTCTGACTCAGGGCCAAGGTTTAGGGTTTTTAATGCCATGCTCACTTTATTTTAGTGTGGACATGACTTTAGCCTAACGATTTTGTCTACAGAATAGGGGCCCTTAGAAGACACATGTGCTGTTGTTGCCTTTTGCAGTGGCACCCTCAGCAGCAGCCAAAATGTTTGTCAACACAGGTCATCTCTGGGAGATGGATCCCAGTGGGTCTGCCTGACCTGGCAGCGTGGCACTTGCTCAGCCCTGGAGCAGTGGTTGTTGCTCTCATGCCTGGTTTTGGTTTTCTGGTGGCCCCCTCCCATCAGACACCACTCTGTGCTGCAAAGGAGCCACTGTGGCTGTGCTGATTTACTGAACAAGGAGCTCTTTGGCCACCACAGCCCAGTGCAGCATTCTTCTTTAATTTGATATAATTTCTGGCACCAATAGAAAGGTTTTAACAAGCTGAGAACAGGTCTATAATATTCCCCTCAACGAAATAATGGTAGAAGTCACCGAAAGACAAAGCTAATTATTTCCTAATGTGGAGTCTTGGACAGACTGTAGGATGCAGAGAGTGATGTAGCAAACAAAACACAAACTTAACAACAAATTACCCCAGGGATTTGCACCTTGCTGGCTTGGTTGAAGCAGTTCCACTTTACCCTTTGTATCTCTGGGATTTCCTGCTTTTACTCATCTGCTCTTCTCCCTCCTGTGCCTGCAGCCCTGAACTGCCCTGTCAGTCCTGCCTTACAGTGAGGAAGAGGGAAGAGGGGCCTTTGCTCTCTTGACTCCTGGCAGCAGCTGGAGCCCAGTGGGCACCTGCACCCATGTGTGGGGGCACAAGAGAGGAACTCTGCCAGCAGTGTCTCTTCCCACCAGCACCTCCAAGTATTTCCCAGTGCACGCTTGCAAAGGGAGCGGGAGGTTCATCTGGGGTCACAATAGACTTGTCCCACTCCTCATCCTGGCTCTCACCCCGTGCCACAGGAGTCCTTGGTGATGCCAGTTCAGGTCTCTGGATAAGACCTCCTTCCTGCTGTGCTTTGTGTGTGGAGCAGAGCAGATGCCCAAGGCTGCTCAGCCCAGCCCGTGGAGCGCCGGCTGCTGCTCGAGAGGCAAAGCCCGTGGTGTTTGATGAGGTATATTTAGTTGCTTTTATTCTCCATCCCTCTATTACTGCTCCACTTGAACAGTTGCTAGATACCATCTGAAGGAAAGAGTAGATGTATTTGGATTTCCCTGCTCCCTCCCAGAGACAGCACAAAGCAGTTTTTCTCTGCTGCTCTGGACTAATCTAGACATTTATGTGACTCGTGTTTCCATGCTACTATGGATATTACAAATATATTTAAGTAATAAAAAGAGGAGAGGAGCTTTGAAGACAGATGGTAAACTGAATTAACTGCATACCCACAGAAATGGGAAAGCAGACTTGGGAGCGAGCCAGGAACAAAGAAATACAACATTACCTCAGCAAGGGTATAATTGGTGTTGTTTTGATGTCACCAAACACTGCAGAGCACCAGAGGGTTTAAACCTTTCATCATGAGTACATTTCTGAGAGCTCTTTGAGAGAAATACCAGCATCTTCCTTCTTCATCACTGCACAGCAACCAGCACATGGATGTGCTGTAGGTAACTGGAGACAAGACTGGGTGAGATGAAGAGCTGGTGGGTAACGTGACACAGTCGGTTACCTCCTGATGGGTGCACAGGCATCCAGGGCAGCTCCTTTCCCACGGCCCTATTCCTGACTCTGCCAGATCATTTCTTCATACAGACCCAAACAAAGTATCTTTATCACCCTCTTTCTGATCAGAAATGAACAGAAATGAAAAACATTTATGAATACACTTTTTAATTATTTTTAAGTGCTCTGCATGCGTTCTTTGGGGATGGGTCAATACAAGTAACGAGGTTTTTTTCCATCATTGCTATTTCTGTCTCCTGTGCTTCCATGCGAAGCCAAAGCCCTGCAGGTCCTTGGCACTGGGGACCCATCTGTGCCTGCTGCCATCCCTGCAGGGCTGCAGGTGCCAGGAGCAGGGACAGGGCCACCGCAGTGGCTCCTGCAGCTTGGCCTTGTCCCCTCTGGAGAAGGTACCCGTGTCCAAACTGCTTCATCCTCTCTCCTCTTCTCCCTTCTGAACCCAAGGGCTTACAGACACCCTCTGACCCTGTGAAACCAGTCAAATGCAGTGGAGAAAGGTGTAACAGGCAGCATGTGGCTATAAAATAGAGATAAATACACTTGAAGGGTGTCTGTAAAACCCATGAATCCCCCGTGGGAGCCCTCACGCTCCATTCCACACTCTCCTGCAGTTTGCTGTGAGCCATGCCTGGCTCTCCAGGGGCTTTTCCTCCCAGATGTGCTGATTCAGAGTCTTTGTGAATCCTTTTTGGAAATTCCAAGGAACTGAGCGCTGATGCTGTACGGTGTGACACAGGTGAATGTTTTGCTGGGCTCGGATTGATTGCTATTGTGTGCCATTGACAACAAGCCATGTACTGTGTCAAATCCTCCTTGCACTGTAAACATTGTCACAGAGCCTCCAAGGTGACCTGAGGCTGGTGGGGAGGGAGGGGACCAGAGGCTTTGCCTTGTTCTGCTTCTCCCCTCGTGCTCTGTACACAGGTAGAATTATAAATATTTTCCTGTTCTGCTGGAGGCTGTGCTGTGGAAAGCGTGGTGGCTGGTGGTGAGAAAGAGGAAGACACTGAGATGAGTAGGGATTTTCGGTCAGGAAGGAGTTTCAAAGCAGCAGGGGTACTTCAGCTCCTGGTGAGCTGGTCCCAGGTCCCTGTGCTTCACCACCCTGCACTCACTGCCTGGGCTTTTACAAGCACTCCTGTAGCTACAGTGTGGAGCAGATGCTTTGGAAAACACAGCTAAAAATGCAGCCCCTGTTTGATGTCCATGGCTTTGGAAAGACCCCACAGTGATTCCCCCACAAACCCCAACCCAGTGCTCACTGTCCCTCAGACTCCCCTGTCAGCCACACAAGGGGCTTTTCTGTCCTCTATGCTGTGTGGGATATTCCGCTCTCAGAAACATGGGAAGAAGATAAATCCAACCACCTTGTCCAAGTCATTTTTTCTGCACCACAGGAAGAAAGTGTCACTTGTTAATTAAAAAAAAAAAAAGAAAGTGTATCATCCAGTGGAAATCACCATGTCAGTAGGAAAGCCCCAGCTCAGGGAGGAAAAGCCTTTCTATTTAGGCCTGTGTGCCGTGGTGTTGCAGAGAGCAGCTCTCATTTCCATTTGCTCACGAAGTGGCTGTGGTGGTGCAGATACAATCTCAGAGTCACCACATGTGAACTGCAGTGAGGAGTTTCCACGTCAGCACTGCACAGTAACTGCAAAATCAGTGCAGGAGGAGTTGGTCTCCTTGGGGCTCCAGAGGTACTTGGGGTTTTTCAGGTGGCTTTTCTTGCTGAGGTCAAATGTGTCACTTGGCCCAGGAGCAGCAATTCCAGGTGTTGGGTTATTTGGAAAAACACCAACCCCAGCAAAGGGTCTTTTGTCCCCTGTTGTCTGTGGCAGAGGACCTGTGAAAGCCCATCTTCTAGTGGCCAAATTCCAAGAGAACCTTCACTGCTCTCACTGCTGAG